CTTTAAAAAACTACGAAATCTGTAGATTAAATAAAAATACAAAATACACTGTATGCCATTGGCCAACTTAATTAATCCATAAGGTTAAGTCACAACAATTATTTAAAACATCTACAAAACAAACTTGAATGTTAAATGTGTCTGCTACTCAGCTTTTGAAACATCATGTACAATTCTTTCTAACTTTCTAAACTTGTTGTAAATTGCTATACCATAAATTTTCAATTGATCTATTAAAATCTCATTCTAGAAAAATCACGTAAATTGACAACACTGTACCCTCCTAAATGCAAATTTCTGACTCCCTTTAAATGGCAAAACAAAAGGAACAAAATATTTTCAGCAATCTGTTCAAGATGCAAGAATAATTCAAGCTGAAAATAATAATATTAGCCTCACTGAGTTTTCAAATAACAAAATATTCATGATTTTTCATGTCTTCATTAATGATGAAAGTTTCATTTTTATTTGCACTTACACTGTAGGTGTAAAAAGTACCGCTTAACAACACAGCAACATTTTCGTAATGACCGGTAGTTTCACTATATACAAATTTATGTACGTGGGTTTTTCCATATGTCATGACACTGTGCCCCTTCAGATCAAAATAGAGAGCTGTAGCAACAACAACTGCAACAGCAATAAAGACATCAAAAAAGCAAAATACATTAATTTTATACTTCTCCTAGGCCAAACAAGAAGACACACTTTTTTGACATCACTGCATAAAAGCCACATAAAATTCCCTCTGTTAGTGGACTTTTTATGGAGGACGTAAACACACCAAAAATGGATTTCTCTTTCTCCTACTAAACTACAGTTGTACCTCTCGGTACGGACACCTCTCCTATGTTACGGACAGTTTCCAATGTCCTGACAAAATTCTCCTATATTGACCTTAAAAATATACTTCTATAATATGGACTCTATCTAATACGGACAACGGACACTAAATTTTGGCCCCAGAGAGTAAATTCAATATAAACTTAACCTCTTTATTACGGACGCTCTAGTAATCAGGTGAATTCCGAATCTCGATCAGGTGAATTTGCACGGGTAAATCCCATCTAGTCTGGCTGATGAGCTATGCAAGGTGACTTCTCAAACTTATTAATAATTCATAAAGAAAATTCAAAGGAAATTAATGTTCAATGAGTGTTTGGATATGTGATGAAAAACTGCTCATTTTTGCATCCTTAATTTCTCCTTCAAAAATGATTTTGTTTGAGAAGAAATATCAAACATTCGACACAGTGTTCCATCACCAGATGAAACACCTCGAAGTTCAAAAATACTCAAAAGGTCAAAAATACTCCGCTGCGCGTCGTATTTTCAACTCTCTTCTCGGTGTTTCATCTGGTAATGAAACACTGCATCTCATGTTTGATATATTACTTCAAAAGCCCAGTCGCTGTATACCAAACAACTTTTTGAAGGCTTCAATAACTACAGATACCATGAAGATCTTTTCCATTACATTTTGTACTCTAGTTACTGTTTACTACTTGCAAAATAGCGAAAGGCGTTTTCAGAATTGTGCTTTACGTTACAACTTTTTACATCCAGCATTGTGCTGTAGCTCTTTTGATCTTAAAACAGTGATATGTCTACGACTGTACATATGTAGCTGATATGTACAATTTTGTATGCTACTGAAAGACAGTGTCTTAGTACTGTGAATTAATAAACTTCAATGAGCTTCAATGCAGTTTCAAGACAAGTGTAAGCCTGGTTTTAGCTAGTGAACACTTAAAACTGTAAGTGGAGTCACAATTTAAGTGATGTCATCGTAGTGACTTCTTTTGTATGGACACCTCTCTAATTCGGACACTTCCCCAGCTCTGTCCCTTCGGTGTCCGTATTAGAGAAGTACAACTGTAATGGGTTCGATTCCAAGAAATCAATTTCAAGAAACTTAACCTACTCTCTGACATTTAAAGCAACTGAGTTGAAATAATATTGCAAAGAAAGTTTAAAAACTACTTCTACCACAAAACATCTTAAAAACAAGGGTTATTTGTTGCCTGACTCACAACTTACAGTTGACTGTGATTGAGTAAACTGTAATGTGTAGTTCCAGAAAACATCCATAATACCCCCCCCCCCCCGACCAACCCCACCCCTTTGCAGGGCACTTTTACTTTAGAACACCCACACCCCTATAATTTCCATTCTAGGGGATGCTTGTCATACACACCACGCCACAGAATTTTCTGTTATCTAACTTAGTTGAGACCCCCCTGAAGAGAATATTTATTTCATCAAAAATGCTGTTACACTATACTTTTATGTGAAAGATAATTGCATGTTTTCTGCGATAAAGAGAGGAAAAATCTTTTTATTCATCTTAAAACAGTGTCTAATGTTCTCAGTTTTGCCTTGCATGTAAAGGTCTTTCTTTGTTCATTACTAACAGTGAGTAGAGGTGTATGTCACAGACAACCAAGGACACAATACCTTATGAGAGACATAATAAACTGGACAAAACTGTTGTGGATTGACGTTTTATCATACAAAAATAAAACAAGCCATTATAAGGACCCTTAATGATATTTTTGTCCTTTAAAACAATATTAAATTCCACATGTAATGGAATAATATTTTCATGTTGATCACACAAGAAGGAATTGCATTACGGCGTATCAAACCTTGGTAACAAAATCACCAAGGTACACAAAATCATGTAATTTTTAAGAAAAACAAATCACATGTTTTTCGATGAAAAAGAAGTGTTGTCATGTTAGAATGTTGTCTCCAAATAAATCTTGCCGCAAAGATAACTTGGATTGAGTCATTTACATGCAGCAGCATAATTATCCTTTGATAAATCAGCAGTTAAGAGAGTCAAAAAAGATTCAAGCTGCGATACATATATACATGTATATGCTACCACTGAAGGGCCACGAGGCAAATCCACAGAGTTGTTTGAATCAAGCTGTTGTGCAACACAACGTGAGACTAAATGGCAAGCCCCTGAGAGAAAAGCCGAGAAATATGGTCCAGCAACTATTAGAGAGGCTCACATAGCAGTGTCAGAAATTCTTGGCCGACTATGCTTTAACACAGCAGCATTTCGTGGCTTCTAGCATGGAACAGAGCGTCAGCAACAGGCTGCCATCTTCAAAACAGATGGAAGACCGACCTAGTGGCAAGAAGAGTTTTAAGATGACGCAAGTCTGAAGAAAGGGCTATATTTGAGTGGTCAAATAAGTTGTAGACTGTCCTTAAGTTTTCCTTGTGTTTTCCCGTTGAATGCTTTTTGAACATCCACAAAAACCTCACTATATTCTTAACACAACAACCCGTCATTTTTTTATTCGTTTTTTTTTTCTTTTTTAGAAACAATGTTATTTTTGCATACCTTTGTGATTTCGATACTGTATTAATTTGGATACGCTGTAATGCAAGTCCTCCTTGCACAATCAAATTTTCCAATGTGTGGAATTTGATAAACTTCAAAGGAGAAAATGGTCAATTCACAGGTTTTTTAGAGGTTTTTAATGGTATTTTCATGGCCAAATGTAAGGAGATTTTCATGGTAAGCCACCCTGAAAAAGGCATGAAAAAAGCATTAAAAAAGCCATTAAAATCCCCTTAATATTTTAAGTTTCATGGCCCATGAAAACCCTCTCAGGTTTGGGCAAGTCCCTGAAATACCCATGAAAATGCCATGAAAGTTTTATGTGGATTTTAATGGATTTTTAATTACCTTGAAAAACCCATGAATTAAACACCATGTTTTTCATATTGCAATTCATGGACTTTTAATGGGGCATCACTGGATTCATGGCCATGAAAAACCCATGGTTATTCCATTAATATTAAAATATTAACGGGTCATGAAAATGTTCATGTCCTTTTCATGGCATTTTGAAGACCCATGAAAATTGACTTCAGTTATTTTCATGGGGTAAATAAGTCAAAACATGGATCATGAAAACTTTGTGAAAAGGCCATGAATGTTGACGGTTTAATCAATAACATTATTTTATATTATTTTGGTGGCTTAAAAAATAAAATCATAATTCAAGCACAAAAAATGAAGACACTTATGTGGTTGATGCATTTACTGCTTTGTGCATATATACTGTAGCTATAAAAGCACAGTGGTACACAGGACTAAATGAGGTATAAATGTTTGGTTCATAATTGATTGAGTTTTTTATTGCACCCATTTGTGGAATCAGCTCAGACAGCTACATGTAGCACTCCTTACTCTTTTTCATTTCCTTTTATCTTGTAATGCAATAATAGTAATAATTATTAGAACAACATTCTATTAATATTAAAAGAAAAGAACTCTTTAAATTAGAAATTGCTATTTATGCAATAGCTAAATAGTCTAAATAGTCCAAATTCCAGTTGAATGCAATTCACTGAGAATCAATAAAATAATTTGCTTTGGTTTCTACTTGGCAACTGTAAATATATTTACATCAATTTTAAAAATATATCATCATAAATATTAATCTGATATCATAATTTTGTATGTTATCTGTTACAGAATATTGATAATAATTCCATTTTAGCATATAAAAGTTTGAGTGTATATATACAAATCATTTTTCACTGCAATATTTCTGGAACAAGAACTTTTTAAAAATAAAATTAATATTATTATGTACATTTCAAAATTTGGAATGCATGCATTGTATATGTCAATCATTGTTTACCCCCGAGCTTTTAGCCAGGTGGGCGTCCGGGTGTCCTGTGGACGCCCAGTTTTCAGGAAAACATTTTTTTAAAAGATCTTGATGTCCAAGTTGATCACTGGGAGGGTTTGTGATTCTTTTAAATATGTGTGAATAACATCATTTCATAGTTTGTTTTCCTCATTTTTGCATCATGTATGCTTTTGATCATCAGAGATGTCATTAATTCGTTATTTCAATTATTTAGTGGACGCCCACATGCAAAATGCTGGCTAAAAGCCTGTTTACCCCCATAAGTTAATTAATCATATAAGCCTTTTTGTAGCTCTCATAATGCTTTGAGATGTTGTCTTCATTGTTGACAACAAAGTTTTTGCCATCCTCGTTAACGGTAGGTGTTGAAAAAAATATATAGGTTGTACTAACTATGTGAGTGTCCTTGCGTTTTGGCCACTTGTAATTTCCCTTTGTTGTCTTTGTCAAAAAATTGACGTCAATTTCTTCCACAGTCTCGTCCAGCACACGCATATTGATGGCAGTTATCTTGCCTATGAAGAAGCCTTCATTGTAGGCAACTGCCACCCACTGACCAACACTTAAACTGCCCCTGTCGTGGCCCTGAAAATCACCAAAAAGATAAGAAACCAATATTAGTACCAATACCAATACTACGTTCTTTTCCACATAATGTTGAAATATTGATTGGCAGATTGCTCGGGGCAACTTACAAATGAAATTCAAATTTGCTTGAATTGAGCGAGTACCGGTTTTGCTTTTGACGGTTTTGGTTTGGCAAGTTCCAGTTTTCAAGTTTATAATTATAATGATAGAAGTCACTAAATTAGGTGGATAATTACCTTGACAGTGGATGTTGGGACAGGGTCTCTTCTGCTTTCTTTATTCCCATTTTCTGAAATCGTAAGCAACAAAAATGCACTATTTACATGTATGCACAATATTAAGTAATTTTGAAAACTAGTATTTACCTCCTCAGAGTAACATACAAAATTAATTAAATACACTGTAAGATAAAAAAAAAACACCAGAGATATAGAGACAAACAAACATGTATGGTTAAAAATGTGGAAGATTGACACTACAAAAGATGCAAAGATGCTGGATTTAAATTGTTTCTTCGCACCTTTTCTGTTTAGATGGAAAATAATAATTTTAGTTTTATACAGCTGTATGAAGAGGCCCTAAATTATAAGTTAGAGTGGCAGCCATTATGTATTTATCAATTACCTTTTGACTTTTTCTCTTCGTTGACAAAAGTCTTGTTACTCTGAAAAAGTAAATTGCAAGAGATTGCCATATGATGTCAAATAGGGGGTAAAAACAATAAGAAACTTGTGTGCCCAATGATTGGGGGGGGGACTTCAAGAGCAAGGACTAGGTTCACTGATTATTTTCCAATTGACATTAAACAAGACAATGACTTTTAAACAGCCCATAAAAAAAATATTGCAATGCATTCCTTTTGCTGTAGCTAAATTTAAACAAAGCAAGAGAATGCACACTGTATAAGCTCGATAGTGAGCTGTTCAGGGGACTTTCTTTCGATCTTGCTTGAAGCACGCGGCGGATTTTTATTATGTCTCCCATTTTGAGACCCGCGCGATGAAGGTCATCTTCTCTCGCCGCTTCGAGAGTCTCTAGATCATCAATCTGTGGCGATCAAAACGTTAGGAAAGTCAGGACACTATAATTTATGATGTTGAACAAGGATTGAATGAAAGCTATAAAAAAAGTAATCGAATGTAAGTTACAGTATTTTCAAGGACTAAACGAAACCGCTTTAAGCGTGCGATCTGTGGTGTACATTTCGTTCGACGACTGAGACAAATGTTATAAACGCTTCTTCATCAACAAGAACTTACCCCTTCGTTCAGTAGAACCTCCAAGATGCGATCTTTGTCGGCAGATTGGAAACCAGAAAAGATCTGCTCCATGGCATCAAATTTATTGAAAGTGAATTTTCAAGCGAATCCAAAGATTTGACTCCAAAAAAACCGCCTCTTCCCCGTCAGAAGTCACATGATACAGAGTATCCCATGAGCCCTCGCAGTCGACCGGCTTCGGCTCATCGTCGTAAACGATTCGGTAAACGACCGTAAACTCGGCTTTCGGGCCTGCGCATTGTACTTGCTTGAACCATCGCTTGAACCCACGAGGGCCTTGTTGTCGATTCAATGCCTTCTCGAGTCTGTTTTTGCACCATTTGCAAAGGTGAAGCAGTGCAATCAAGTTATAAGGTAAAGCAACACCTTAAGTTATACGGCTTGTGGGATTCGAAGAAATCCATCGAAGGGCCGTCAACGGCTAAGAAATCAAGAATTAACGAAAGCGATTCGAGTACGAATAGTGACTCTAGCGACAGTGAAAGGTTATCACAAATCACATACTCCATCACCTGCCAGAAGGGATTGAGAGGTTTGGGCCTGTACACGGTACATGGATGTTTGCCTATGAGAGATTCAATTCATGGCTGTGCAGGAGGGCGCTGAATAGAAGACATCCAGAGACCACCATTCTTAGAACTTATCATGTCAGGTAATGCTTTCAGTGAGCTTTGAGCACAAGTACAGATTGTATGGTAGATGTACAGACAGGGTTCTTATTAAAAGCTAGTTAATGATTATTTTAGCTGTCTCATTATGGATATGCTGTGCATGTGCCAGTGTTCATACTCCTGGAATTTCCTAAATTGCTGGAAAATTAACATTGAAAAATAAATCCGGGCTTACATTGTTATTGTATAGGCGGATGCAACACTCCTGCTCATGTAGTTACGTTACTTACAATATATGTGTATCTGTCTATTGTATTCTTTTCACTAGACATTTTCTGTATTTATTCTTTGTTAACAGATCTTTGAGTGGTGTCACTATATGAAATTGACTGGAAAGATGAGGAATAAACTTCCCTTCGTACTTCCATGTGGAGATGATAGTCACTTGAGTAGAGATTCACTGTCACCATTTCTCTCAGATGGAAGTTCACTGGGAACAATGCATCTCTCAAATGACAACCTGGCTCACATGAATGAGATTTACAAGAAAGAAATCCCTCAAGTCCAGTCACTGTGGACGATTTATCAAATGGAGAAAGAAGTGGCTCGTAAAAAGGGAAATCTAAAGAAATTTCCAGAGTTTACCAATTGGAGACTGGAGGGAAGTCAGGCTATATCAGATGTGCATTTGTCTATCCTCGAGGGCCTTCAACCAACAGCAGTTGTCTACCACCAATTTTTATTGGATGATAAGCAGCACTCCCGCAGCTACCTTTACATTTCAACACAACACCCACGCAAAAGGCCAACTATTGTTTTTTACAGTCCTCCCTCAAGCTCAGAGGCTAGCAGCTGTAGTGCCAGCAGGTCGTTAAGGTTTGGTGTTGTTGACCAGATCTATCAACACACTTTTTCACAGAAGTCATTTATGTGGGCAGCTGTGAGTTTCTACAGAAAGGCAGAGTTTATTCCCAGCTGTGGTCTTTGGTGTTCAGAGGATTCCATTGGACAAACTGTTCCAGTCCTCCTGAGTCATCGGTCTCATCCACTCACAACTGCAGTTGATGAAAACCTCAAGATCTGGTTTTTAGATGTTTATTACTGACACTTAAATGATGCAAGTTAATTAGTTACAAAATTGATGGAAAATTATATTTGGAGAAACCATTAGTTTTAGCAGGGAGCTGTCATTAAGAGTGCAAGAGCACTCAGTAACACAAAATTGATGGAAATATCTGTCATTAAGAGTCATACTCTATAACACCAGTTTATATGCTGAGTTCATCTGATTTTGATTTACAAATGTTAATGTTACAGCTGATGCCGCAACTGTTTGCAAAGAAATTCCTAACAATTGATCATGAGTGCAGGTGAAACATTAAAAGCATTGGGTGGCTCAGAACTTCATGACAGTGCTGTTTAGTATTAATCAGATTCTTGGGCTCAACTGCAAAACAAGAACACTTCAAGTGACTTAAATTAAACAGATTTTATTATCTTAAAATAATGTTTCATCCATTTCTACTTAGCTTTAATTCATGGCATTTTCATGATTTTGCATCATGGTGAATTCCCCTTAAAGTGTTTTCATGGGTTTTTCATGACCCATGAAATACATAGACAGCAAAGTAACATTTTCATGGGTCATGAAACCTGCCAATATGTAATATGTGGAAATTTCATGGCCCATGAAATCCATTTTCAGTGCTCTAAATTTTTTTCATGGCCCATGAAAATCACTCATTCCATATTTCATGGGAAATTCATGGCTTGAATATAACACCATGAAATCTAAATCTCTGTTTTCATGGCCATTAAAAGTGCTTTCATGGGGTTTTCAAGGCGTTTTCATGGGATTTTCATTAAAGTAGCAATTCATAGTGTTGGCTTGTTTTATTTTTGTATAATGTAACATCAATCCAGAACAGTTTTGCCCAGTGTACTATGAGAGCATCTATGAAAGAACCAGTAAACAGTTAAGAACAAGTTAAAAGAAGGCTAATAGAACATGACCATAACACAGTGAATACCACAATTATATTGTGAAATATAAAGCAATGAGCTGGATGACCGGCATTATTCATGAGCCGATATGACATTCATATTAGATATATGTAGACTATATCATACAGGTAAGCTATGAAAAAAGCATTCAGCTATAATTGTTAATGTAAGATCATCAATAAAAACAATAATACTTGTTTCATTCAAAGTCCCTGGAAAAAAGACCTTGAGAATCTGACCCCACTCCCTTGGAAATTGCCTCCTCTTGGACCCCCTTCCCACTGGAATTTCTGATGCCCTCCGTGGGGGGAAGTATAACCCGCATCCTGGTGTGGAGGGTAACAGTTTCCATTTTCTAATGAACCTATGCAGGTATACATGTAATAGCTCCTCCAGTCCTGGAGTCACTGCAAGTTTTTCTTTAAACTTTTTAAACAGTTTTAATATTGTTGTTAAATGTACATGTATTTTCTGCTGACACTAAACATGAAAGGCATTTCAAAATAACCTCAGTGAATTGGTAATGATCAAATGTAAACACAGCACTGGTTTATTCATTAACAGTTCTTACATGAATCAAGTGAACTCACTCACTTCAATTCCTCATGAACCTATTGTTGTGGTGCATCAAGCTACCATGGTGGCCAATCATTTACATAAAACTGGTAAATGAGGTACAGTAACACCAGAAAATAAGAACCTACTTTTTTTGAAGTCTGGCAAAATAGGTTCTTGCATTTTGGGGTACTTAATGGCAATTTAGGCTATGTAGGTTCCTAATTAGGTTCTTAGTTTTTACGTATGAAGGAGATAGATTGTTGATTTAAAATCACAAAAATAAATTTTAAGTCTCAATTGCAGATTCAGAATCTGTAAGCCATGTTTTGTTCCTTGTATTTAGTCCACAAAAGAGAAGACATGGTCCCTGCAGGGTTGAACATGGCGATGGCGATGACCATGGAAACTTGGGATATAACGAATTACGGCATGACTCAGGAGCTTGCCACGAATGTTTTGTGAAGAAAGCTTAGGATGAGTTAATGCAAAAGATTTAGAGCTTTTCCGGAATAGGTTGGTCCACGAATTCTATTGCTTAAAAGTGGTGATTACTTTGGAACAAGTAGTCGAGTAAAAGAAGAATCTTAATGAGCAAAACTTTGATCAATGGTGCAGATGGTGTGGCTAACTGGTCGGGTGTTGTAAACTTTCATTGTTTCATTTTCAGCGATGACCGAAATGACATGCCATGTTCATCACTTTTTTTGCTCTCTGGCAATGGTGTAATTTCTCTCATACTCGAATCTAGGCCCTTAATTTTCGTGTATTTATGCACATGTATTCAATCAATTCAGAAACAAATTGTCAAATACCATATATAAAATAAAATATCTTGAAGAATACTTGACTGTCGATAAAGTAGGAAGTCAAAAACTTGTCACAAGAAAATCCTGCTTCATGTGGATGTAATTGCCTCCTCATTTCTTGAGCAAGCGAGACTTATGAATATATACTTAAAAAATAACTCATAGGTAGCCCCCCCTTTTTACCACTGATAGTTACCTCCCTTTGTTAAATTGTTCATCATAATTTAAAATTACATGTAACTTGCAATGATGATCTTCTTAGGCTTAACTTGCTTCACAATATCATGTTTGAATCCCTCAGTCGCAAGGACATAATTATGTGAGCATTTTTGATTGGCTTGTTTGTTACACAATTTAATGTGATTAGCCTGATTTGAATTAAGCATTGACAGGCCAAACACAACTAATTTATATAATATACAGCTTGTGAGAAGGGAGATTGAGCTTTTGATAGTGCAATTAACGTGACCGAAGAGTCAGCTTGAACAACAGTGGTTTTTCTTGCTCTCTTTTTGTGTAGTTTATGCAGTACATGGAGTATTCTACACTGAGCAAATTTTATTTTACCACTTTGAGTCTCGCATTTAGAGGTTGAGGAAGCTGAGTCTGTTCCATGCATATTGAGCAATAAGTTCCTATGGTTTATGTTTCTGCAGGAGTTTTCTGACAGGATTTGATCACAAATGCAGTTTACCACGAAATGATTTTCTTTTACCTCTGTTTAATGCGGCCGCCCACAGGGGACATGCTGCAAATAAAAAAATTCCTGCAAAATAAATAAAGTTGCTGCAAATAAAAAATAATTGCAGCAAATAAAAAAAATAGTTGCTGCAAATAAAAGGATTTGCTTCAAATTAAGTGAAAGGAAAGTTTGTGCACGCACTGATGGGAAGAAGAGGACTCAGCATAGTTGTATCCAGGGCCCACTCACAAAATGCTTGGCCTAATCCTCAGTGACAGAAAACTTATTTGAGTTCAATGGAAACAATTATCTTCAAACCCATGGAGTTGCATTGGGCATAAAAACAGCAGTGTCTTTTGCAAATATCTACAAGGCACAGACTGAAACAAACCTAATCCAACATAGAAATACCAATGGAAATGTTTCATTGGTGATGTTTCCTTTCTTTGAGACCGTAACAGAAAAGACCCAACTTTTTCTTAAAAAAACTAACAAATCCCATCCCAAAAATGAAGTCCACGGCCGAAATATAAAATAACGAAATAACTTTCCTTGATACAACAGTTTTCAAAGGAGAACATCTCACAGAGAAATGGGTGATTCCATGTTACGGGCATTACGTTCAGATACTAAAATTAATATTTTAAACCCCAATTTAGATGTCACAATGTTAATTAAGGGTGTTCAAACATATCTAGAAAGTCTTTTTAGTGTTCCCTTTGTACCTAATCAAAAGATGCTTTGGTTAGCTCTTAAGACCTTGAAGGTATGAGTTGAAGAAAGTGTGTTGCGGACATTACAGTTTAAACAACCACTTTTTAAAGTAACTTTCTTTAAAGAGATTTTCCTGTGAATTTTTAACCGTGAGCAGAAAATAATTGTGCCTTCAAAACATAACAATTAGATTTTTCAACTGTCAAAAAAAAATTCCATGCAACCTTGTTCCAGTGATTCTACAAACAAAAGTTTGCGTTGCGGACATTACACAAAATTGTTGCGGACATTACATTTTTGGGAACACATTTTTTATCATTCACTTCCTAGTCAGTGTTGCTGACTGTGGCTATGTCCATTTATTCTGTAGTTACTTGTCTAAAAATGAAGGTGTGAAATTATCATTTACTTTATTTATGATTGTTCTATTATAATATTATATAATCTCCTGCTGAGACCTAGTATCATGCAATACCAGACAGATTTTTTTCTGCTATACTGACTCCTTAAAATAATTTCCAAATTAATTTTATTACATCTCAAGCTAATGTTGTGAGAAAAAAATGTTCTCA